AGTTCCAAGATCATAATACTCATTTTAATACTTAAATGTATAAACAATATATATGTTTTATACATATATATATATATATATATAAAATTATATTTAAAAATAATCAAGGTTAAAAAAACAAATCATTTTCTTTGTTGATGCAAAACATACCAGAGTCTTGGGTCTCCAAGGTGTTCCCAGCACATTCCACTGTAATTTGTAGCCACATCTCAGTCTGGGGGTCATCACCCCCCAGTATATTGTTAATTTTCTTTGTTTTTTTTTTTTTTTTTATTTCTACGCTCTGGTTGGGATCATTTCAGCAGGGCGACTTTGAATTCTTATAGCAGAAATGAAAAGCAAAGAGAAGAACTGGAAGGTAACAAGTGATTTATGTGATATGTGGGTTCCTGCACCATAAAAAGCCTCTATTCGTTCTGCAAGCAGTAAAACCGCACAAGACTGGATGTATTTATGGCCGTTTTCTCATTTTTGTTAATGGCGCGGCCGGCAGTTTTGGTAAATGTTGACCTTGTAGTGGATCTATTTCTTTCATTAGAAACATGAAACTTTCCGAAGGAATTTATTGCAAAGTATTCCCGTGTAAAGTTCTTCAAAAATCATTTTTAGGAAAAGCTTGGCTGGTTGGTGACTCAAACTACAAATCCCAGCATGACCTGTTTGGATGGAGAGTCACCTGTTGTCTAGAGGTATTCCTGGATGTGTCAGTCACATGTAATGGAGATTAACAAAGACTGCTGTGTGCATGTTGCATATTTTTCAGGCAACATTTTTGCATGGCCAATTGTTAATATCTCTTTGATGTTCTGGGGGCCCTATTGGTATTCCGTATCTGTAACTTGGTGATTGAGGACCTGGATGGCTCTTTTTTAGGCAATATGGGATCCTATCATAGTTTTTGGGCCATGTGTATTGGTTTATGTTTTGGCAAGAAGTATTCCCATGGTGTTACCTATGTGTTGGATACAGGATACTTGGACATGTCATCTCTTTATTGTTGTTTTTTTTAACACATTCCCATGCCCCATGTGCTGGCTTTGGACAAGTTTACAATATCCAGCTTCCACCTTGTTCAGGTGTGTGTAATCCTTTTTTTAACATATAATACATTTTATTATAATTTTCCAAAAACTAGCAGTTCTATACAAAATACCTTTTTAACCACTTGCTCTCCAGAGGATTTATTTACCTTCATGACCAGGCCATTTTTTGTTTGGCACTGCTCAAATTCAACTGGCAATTGCATTGTCATGCAATGCTGTACCCAAACAATATTGATGTCCTTTTTTTCCCACACAAATAGAGCTTTCTTTTGGTGGTATTTGATCATCTCTGCAGTTTTTACTTTTTGCGCTATAAGCAAAAAAAGACTGAAAATTTTGAAAAACGATTTTTCACTTTTCGTTATAAAAAATATCAAATAAACTCAAAGTTAGTCATAAATTTAGGCCAAAATGTATTCTTCTGCATGTCTTTGGTTACAAAAATCTCAATACATGTGTATTAATTGGTTTATAGTGGTTTTATTAATTATTAAGTTATAGCGTCTACAAACTATGGTATATATATAGGAATTTACGCAGCTTTTACTTTTTGACTGCCTATCACATTTTTTGAGGTGCTAAAATTCCAGGGCAGTACAACCCCCCCCCCCCAAATGACCCCTTTTTGGAAAGTAGACGCCCCAAGGATTTTGCAGAAAGTCATGTTGAGAGGCAACGCATTTCGTCACTGATCACATGACTTTTTCAAGGGGATCCGATTCCATTTGAAAAAGTCACATGATCAGTGATGATCAGTGATGGGGAGGAGCCTTTGGATGATGTCACAATGCAACTAGGAGCCGGCATTATCATAGTGGGAGCACGCATCCTTTGTGGAGATCTTTTATTTATGAGGTATATTGCTGAAGAGGGATGTATTCAGAGTGGGATAACTACATCCATTTATTCATCCAGTTGATCTTCAGAGTCCATTGTGGGACCAAAAGTGCAGTTAGACCAAACATACTATATGTGAGGTCACACTACTGGAGGTGAGCAGACATCTGGTGGAGGAATTCAGCACTTTTTTGGTTGGAGCACTTGGTGATCACGGCAGAAAGAAAAATTCTATTTAGTAAAATTGTGTTTTGACTTTCACATTTATATGATCATGATTTGTTTTTTAGTTTTATGATATGTAGCGCTATACTTTTTTCACAATTTTTTTGACTTTCCCACTGCCTATCACAGTTTCGGAGGACCTAAAATGCCAGGATAGTACAAACCCCCACCCCCCAAATGTCCCCTTGTTGGAAAGTAGACATCCCAAGGGATTTGTTAAGAGGCATGGTGAGCATTTTGCACATCTCATTTGTTGCCACATGTTTTTGTGAAATGAAGAAAGAAAACAAAAATGTATTTTTTTTCTTTTTTCATCATTTTCCAAAAACATGTGGCAACAAATGAGATGTGCAAAATACTCACCATGCCTCTTAACAAATATCTTGGAGTGTCTGCTCTTCAAAAAGGGGTCATTTGGAGGGGTTGCTTCTACTATCCTGGCATTTCAGGGCCAACATTAGAAGCTTATGCCACACATCACCCATTCTTGAAGACCAAGCCTGACACTTTTTGTTCACATGAAAAAACTGTTTTTTTTGCTAGAAAATTGGTGTGTGTTGAAATTTTTTACGTCACCCAGTATTTGCACAGCGATTTTTCAAATGCAAATCTTTTGGGAAAAATACTCTTTTTAGAATTTTAATGCACAAAAACACAATATATTTGCCAATTGTTTGATAAAATATAAAAGATGATGTTACGCCGAGTAAATAGATACCAAACATTACATGCTTTAAAATTGCGCATGCCCGTGCAATGGCAACAAAATATATACATTTTTATTACCGATAGGCAATGCTTTAAAAGCCTTTACAGGCCACCAATTTATATGTACACAGGAGGTCTAGCACTAGAATTACTACCCTTGATCTGACGTTCGCGGCGTTACCTCACATGCATGGTGCAACCACTGTTTACATACAGGCACAGGGTCAACGCTTGGGGGCAAGGGTGCTTTTTTTTTTTTTTTTTTTAGCTCTCTTGTTTTCTTTTTTATTATTTTTACACTGTCTATTTCTTCTCTTTTTTTTAAATCACTTTTATTGCTACCACAGGGAATGTAAATATCCCCTCTGATTGCAATAGGCATTGACAGGCATTCTTTTTTGAGAAATTTGGGGTCTGTTAGACTCTAGATATCTCCTCTGCTCTTACATCATCTGATCTCACCAAGATCGGTGTGATCAGATGCTTTCCAAATTTACAAAGGGCGCTGTTTATATCCTGCAAAACTGAAGAAATGAAATGCTCGTAGCTTTTGATTTCTTAGATTATAAAGATGATTGGCGCCACTCAGGGTGCTGTAATTGGCCCCATGTATCATGTGACAGCTGTGGGCTAATCACAGCTCACTAGGAAGAGAAGCAGATATGTTATGAATGAGATTGATTCATAACAGCTTTGCTTACATTGTGATCATGTGATCACATAATCACTGGGTCCCGTTCACTGGGATCTTCATTTCGCTGTGTCCGCCAGACACAGCATTCGGGGGGGCGGAGAGCACTGTGCACCCGTTCAGGCACCCAGGGCCCCCTGTGTTAGTACAGCCAGAGTGACATACGGGTACGTCGCTTTGCCTGTAGCTGCCGCCTGGCCGCAGTACATTGCGGTTAAGTTTCATTCTGATTGATATCAAAATAGTACAACTATAACAACTCTACCCCTTGCTTATATATCTCAGAAAAAATAAATAAATAACGCTACTGCGTTTGCCTCTGAAATTTCTTAAAAAATACTAGTTCTAGTTTATTCTAAACTGTGGTTGTTTCATAAGAAACAGAAGGAGAAAAAGAAAAAACACACCATAGAGCATCTCCCATAAACACCATTTTATAAATAATGCCCGAGAAGCAAGCGTGGAAACTATTCCATAAACGATCTCAGGATGTCAGAGCTCATAAACTCGACCCAAGGGAACCACAGGGACAGATGTTTATGGTAACAATCATGTATGGTTGCTGTTAGTTCTTCTATTCTGTTTAATCAGTTTATTTCATCTATCTACTCCTTAACGGAGGGGACAACCTGAGTATTCCAATATCTTGGTATTACTGTACGTGCTGCGGAGAATGAATAACAAGACAATCCTCTTTTTGAAGCTCTTCCAGATTCTGGAGAAATAGACAACAATAATATTTTGGGGGACATCTGATAAGATATGCCATTAATATGTGAGAGAGTCCAAAATACTAATTCCCAAAATGGTTTAATCCTAGAACAGGACCACCATACATGAGTCATTGTACCTTCATCCTACCCACAGCGCCAACACTTTTCAGGCTAGGTCGAAATGCTCCTATGTATTCCCACTGGACACCTATACCACATTGTAAGTATTTTATCATTTTTCTGTTGAATGTAAGTTGACATACTGGATTTAAACATTAGCCTGAAGGATTTTTTCCACTCCTTCTCGGTTAACATATGGCCCAATTCTCTCTCCCTGTCTCTGGTATAATAAGGTTGATGTGGATATGCATGAGATAGTAATATGTCATATACTGTTGAAATAGCAGGTGAGCACATCCAACTCCTCATACAGAGTGATTCATAAGGGGTTAGATCTCTATGTAATGAGCCTATTTTAGATAAATATTTATAAAAATGTTGAAGTTGGAAATAATGAAGCCAACGGCCTGTGTATAACCACTTGCCTACAGGGCACTGCTACCCCCTTCCTGCCCAGGCCAATTTTCAGCTTTCAGCGCTGTCACACTTTGAATGACACTTGCGCGGTCATGCAACACTGTACTCATATGACATTTTTAGCATCTTTTTGAGACAGAGCTTTCTTTTGGTAGTATTTAATCGCCTCTGGGTTTTTTATTTTTTGCTAAACAAACCAAAAACAACTGAAAATTTGGAAAATAAAAGTTTTTTTCTTCGTTTTTGTTATAAAAGTTTGTAAGTAAGTGATTTTTCTCCTTCACTGATGTACGCTAATGAGGCTGCAGTGATGGGCACTAATAGGCTGCACTGATAGGTTGCACTGATGAGGAGACACTGGTAGGTGGCACTGATGGGCATTGACAGGCATCACTGATGGGCACTGAAAGGCAGCACTGATAGGTGGCACTGGTAGGTGGCACTGATAGGCGGCACTGACTGGCACTGATAAGTGGCACTGACTGGCACTGTTAGGTGGCACTGACTGGCACTGTTAAGCGGCGCTGATAGGCAGCACTGACGGGCACTGATAGGCGGCATTGACTGGCACTGATAGGCGGCATTGACTGGCACTGATAGGCGGCATTTACTGGCACTGATAGGAGGCACTAACTGGCAGCACTGATAGGTGGCACTGACTGGCATTGATAGATGGCACTGACTGGCACTGAAAGGTGGCACAGAGAGGCAGCTCAGATGGGCACTGATATATGACAGGTGATGCCCCATAGGGGGCGGGGCCATGATGCCCATTCATTCATGGTATGTGCTCAGGCTGGGATTTGTTCCACCCAGAGGACTGAGGGCATCTTGTGGCATAAAAGGATTACTGCAGTGGACAACTCCAAATTAAAGGTGAGTAATACAGCCTGAGCTGCTGCTTTATTGTTTTTAACTTGTTTGGGGTCCCATATGTAAAAATAAATGTCTAGAGCTGGGTTTAAAAGAAAAAAACACAATACACAACACAATTAAACCCTTTAAAACAGAGATGTATCTAAAAGAAAACATGATATTTTGCTTTGTTCCTCGACTCCTGCGCCTGTTCTCACGGTGTCCTCAGCATGCCTCCCAAGTCATGTACAATTACTGGAAAATAAATCACATACCTTGTTAGGTGTAGATATAAGAGGCACATTTGTAATTCTGTTAGTGATAGACTGATACACTTGCAGTCTTTCAAATAGAAATATATTAGCAGGGAAAGAGATGACTTAAGCATAACGAGATACAAGTAGCTTTTCAGTCGTTGGAAAATCAATGGCTCCCCCCGTCCTCCTCCCCCAGATACGCTCTGCTCAGAGCCTAGCAAAGGGTCTGCTAAATCAACACTCTCTGCTACCCATCAATACAAGTTCTGCTGAACCAATTAAGTAATAAACTAACCAGGGAAGTTAAGTGGCAGAGTTGCTAGTTGGCTTTTTTTCCCCTCTGTCTCCTGCAAACCTCCTGTTTTGTAACCCCCCACCCCTCCCAAGCAGCCCCTGCTACAATGTATTTATTTTTACTCCTTGGAAAGCCCTGGATAAGCTTAATTCCACAGGGCAAAGATCAATACTGGGAGCTGATGCTAGCCTGTTTTATCTGTACACTCAGCACAAATGCTTCAAATAAATTAATTCTCTGGCTTTGAGCTACTTCAGATCTCTCTTTCTTGAAAATTACTGTAACCCTTCTCAAAAGTAAAGGATTTGTTAACTCTTGTCGTGTTATGTTCTGGAGGATTTTTGAGGATGATGGTTGAAAGAAAGCTGAAGTAAGACTTAAGACCTCCAATTTTTTATTGCAGATACACCACTAACCAGGGGCGGACTGACAACTCATGGGGCCCCCGGGCAATAGGGGATCATGGGGCCCCTGTGTCTTTTCCCAAACTCAAAAAAGCCTATGAAAAAGGTACCAGGGGCATCTCATGGAGCCCGCTACTGACCCCGGGACCTCGGCAGTGCCCGAGTTTCCAAATGGTCAGTCCGCCCCTTCCACTAACAATACAATTGAAATACATATATGTGGACAACTTACCAAAGGGTTTGCAGTTTTATCCAGCTAGCCTGGTAGTCCAGGTACCTCTGCTACAAAGTGTAGCCAGCTCCTACTCCCCTTGAGACCTTGCTGTGGATAACACTGCATTAACCACTTCCAGTCCGGACACTTTTACCCCCTTCCTGTCCAGGTAAAGTTTCAGCTTTCAGCACTATCACACTTTGAATTACAATTGCGCATTCATGCAACACTGTACCCATATGAATTGTTTAGCATTTTTTTGAGACAGATAAAGCTTTATTTTGGTTGTATTTATTCACCACTGGGATTTTTATTTTTTTTTTGCTATGTAAATGAAAAAGTCCAAAAATTTTGAAAAAAAGTGTTTTTTTTTATTTTGCAAATAAATAATATTTCATCATAAATCTTGGCCAAAATTTATTCTGTTATCTTTTTAGTAAAAAAGAAAATAACCCAAATTAGTTTATAACCAAAAATTATAATTTTTAAACTTTTTTTTTTTACATTTTTATATTATTATTTATGGGGTTTGTTTTCTACATACTGTCACCCTAGCAGTACAGTGTCACCATGGTACTACTTGTAGGGGGTGATGAAGATTTTTTTTTTGCACTGATTGCTTTTACACCCATAAAGGCTGTAAAAGCAATCATTTCTCCTTCTCTCTGGCTGCATTCTTGCAGCTATTGAGAACTACTGTGTGTGCTGTGATTGGTCACAGCTTGTCACATAATACAAGGCTGTTGTGAATAGCCCTGTACCATGTGACCTCTGTGATCATTCACAGATTTCACACGTAGTAAGCAATGATGTCGGAAGTGACATCTTGCTTACTACTATTCATGTGATCACTGATCAGAGGTCCCGGGCGACGAGCAGTGTTCCACTGTATTCGGAGGACACAGCGGTCACCGGATCGCGGTGCTGCATGCTCCCAGGGAGCGCGCACAAGCAGGGGGCAGGGAGGCCATTTATAAATGGCCACCTGACCCTGCACTGCCACCGTCCAGCCGTTTATATACAACATCCAGACGGGAGGTGGTTAAAGTGTTACTAAACCCAGAACAGTAAAAGACAAGGACAGAGCTTTGTGACCACATACCACCTTCATGGCAGGATCACCAGGAATTACTTTTTTTTGTACTTCCTTTATTTATGGCATTTTGCAGTTAAGGCATAATAGCCACGGAAAAATGAAACATAGAAATGTAGAATGATTATAAAAGAAATGGCATTGTACAGGTCAAAAAGACCAACGTTCGGGTGAACAAACATCAATGTTATATAGGACAGAGTAGGCAAGAACATATAGAGGACCGCTACATGGCACTATGTGGACCCTAGCAGTAAGGGATTACTTATAATGAAAGTTACAGCTGGCAGTACTAGGGTCGTCGGTTCAAATCCCAACCACGGCACCACCTGACTGGAGTTTGCATGTTCTCCCTGTGCCTGTGTGGGTTTCCTCCCACACTCCAAAGACATGCTGGTAGGTTACTTGGCTCCTGTCTAAATAGGCCCTAGTACGTGTATGTATGAATGTAAGTTAGGGACCTTAGATTGTACGCTCCTTGAGGGTTAGGGACTGATGTGAATATACAATATATATGTAAAGCACTGCATAAATTGACAGCACTATATAAGTACCTGTAATAAATAATAAATAAATAAGATCTGTACAAAATGTTCACAAAGATGACACTTAAAGTGTTACTAAACCCACAACAGTAAAAATAAGTCTGCATATGCATGCTTGTTATACTCACTGTGGAACCTAAGGAGTTAAGCCGCCGCATCGTGTAAAAGACCCTGTCTTCTCTGATCTTCCCCTGCTTTTACTGCCCCCAATCCATCTGCTGATAGTACAGAGCCCTAAGAGGCACTCTGTACCTGCTCAGTTTGGTGTGTATTGCTACAGAGGTTTTTTTTTGGGGGGGGGGAGGGTGCATGAGATCGGCACAGGGCCAATCTGCATTGTTCAGACCACGGACGGACTGACCATCTGGAAACTCAGGCACTGCCCGAGGGCCCAGGGTCAGTAGGGGGCCCCATGAGATGCCCCTGGTACCTTTTTCATAGGTTTTTGAAAGTTTCGGCAAGGACATAGGGGCCCCATGATCCCCTATTGCCCGGGGGCCCCATGAGTTGTCAGTCCGCCCCTGGGCTGGAGAACGTCCAGCATCATCTGACGCTGTTCTCCCTAACCTTACTGTCCCGGTCTGCCCCTTTCTTTCACCGGATTTCAGTTCTTTGATTCATGGAGGCTCAGTATCATATGCAGAAGTTATCTAGGGAGGTCTGCATAAAAAAACAGCCTGACTGGGAATGCCTATTCCTCCAGACTGACACACACCCATTTAGACATTTTGATACTTGAAAAACTCTTCCCTAGAGGCAGCCCGCTGCTTCCAACACAGCTGAGGGCTCTTTAACCCCTTGACTCCGACTGCACGCAAATTAGTGGCCTCACAGAACTGGTTTTTTTTTCCATGAGGCTGCTAATTTGCATACATGTCTTACTGCATGGCGCGCTCTCAACACAAAGAATGGGGTGTCACTGAGAGCCCCGAGTCCTGTTCTAACGATCAGGACCCAGAACGCCCAATTCCGAGTCACCTGATCACTGTGATAGCCTCTAATTGGCTGTCACAGTGATCAGACATGCTGAAGCCTGCCACCCTTGTTTTCTCTCTCTGAATGGAGGAGAGAGATATATTGTATCTTTCTCTGTCCTTTCAGAGAGAAAAAAAACAAAAAAAACGTGTGTGTAAAAAATAAATAGATTAATTAAATAAATAAAAATAATAACAAAAATACCTAGATCAAGGTTTGATGTAGGTCAACTAGGGTTAGTGTTTTGGTCAAGGTTAGGGTCAAAGGTCAGGGTCAGTTTTTTTTTTGTGGGGGGGTAGGTTTTTTTTTTTTTTTTTAAATGATTTTTTAATTTGTAGCAGTGTCAGTTAGTGGCAGAATGAAAAAAAAAAGAACGCAAATTGCGCACTATCATACAAGACAAGAACAAGCGAGTGCACGGTAGAATATAAAGCAGCTAGCATGAAAGGATGAACCCCTATATCCCCAAATGTGAATAAAATGTAAAATGCAGTGCTGTATAATATAAGGAAACAAATAAATGAGCAAATAAGGTGACAAAAGTGACCAAAATGGAAGTGAAGCGCATATGATTAAGCGCTAATGTGAACAATATTCCATAAAGTGTCTCGCCAAGCAATAGCGAGAATGGTGATTATAAATGTATATAAATATATATAAAAGTGACAATGGTGAGTAGTCCAGCATAAATATAATGCAAGAAAAATTATAAAAGAAAAACAACCAAAAAAGTCCAAATATGCTCTGTGAAAAATCCGTGCAAGTGACTCTGTGCTAGGGGATTGCTGTATGAATGCACTCACCAGAAGCGCATATACAGTGCGCATAATATTATATCCAACTCCTCCGCGGTAGGTGTGATTATAATATGGACGCAGGAAAGGAACTCCACTGGATTCTTACGGCATACAGGGAAGACACCAAAACACCACCACTGGCCTCTCACAGCATACAGGGATGGCTCACATGGTCCCTCTCCACCATTGATCAAACAAGCCAAAACGATGCCAAAAACGATGTGTTCCACCTTAAGATAAATGGCTGCCGCGCCTTCAGCACAGCTGCCTCTTCCTCCCGCACCTCCACCACACAATAATTCACCAACA